TCACTTATTGCCCCCAAAAGAATTGTGCCTAAAACCTTTAACCCCTCATGTCAAAGGGTAAAACTGAGGCAATTGCGGGATACGATTTGACTGAAAATAAACAGGCAGACCTGAGAAGACACATTCAGAAAGGTCTAATATTTACATAGCTGCTAACAAGAACAGTGTAGGTTCTTCCACAAACACACTAGCTGGTTGAGCTCCTGGACAGACTAAACATAGGCAGCAGTTGTCACTGTGGGTGTTCTGCCAGCACAAGTGTAAAGTTATCATCAGAAATGATTATGTGGCTGCAAGTGGCTTACAGAAATCCAACAAATCTGTGTTTTGGACTCTGCATGAACCTACTCTTCTTAGAATGTCCTGTCCTAGACTTTTTCCTATAAATACAATGATCAGTTAAAATTATCCTCTATGAGCAGGGAAGAAAAATTAGGTTTGTATAAAAAAAAAAAAAAATGACTCCCCAGAGTTTAAATTCACAAATAACAATGTATAAATAGTTACACTGAGTTGAGTGCTATCATACACCCTAATTTGTTTCAAAAATCAATATCTACCCCCCAGATGGTGGTGTACACATGTAATCCCGGCACTCTGGGAAGCTGACACAAGAGGATCGAAACTTTGAGCCTGGGCAATTTAGACACTGTCTCAAAAAAAGACAGGAACATAGCTTAGTATGAAGACCCTTCATTTTTTTTTTTTTTTTTTTTTTTTTGGTACTGGGGATTGAACTCAGGACCTTGTGCTTTGGAGGCAGATGCAGTGCCACTGAGCTAAATCCTCAGCCCGTGAATGCCTTTTTGTTTTTGAGACAGGGTCTCACTATGTAGTTGAGACTGAACTGGAACTCACTATGTAGCCCAGGCTGGTCTCGAACTCACAGCGATCCTCCTGCCTCAGCCTCCTGAGTGTGTGTTTTACAGGCATGTGCCACTACGCCAGGCCCGTGAATGCCCTTGATTTAATCCTCAGTACCACAAACACATTTATAAAAATCAGTATCAATAGAACAGTTTAGGCCCAATTTCAAGTAAACTGAATGAAAATAAAAAGACCAAGTAAAAGAACAATGATAAGAATCGGTTTCCCAGGCAGAATTATTAAACGACTGCAATAAAATATGGAAATCATGCTGTTACATAAAACATCTCATGAAAGCAAGAAGGGCTGAGGATATAACTCAGGGTCAGTATACTCGTAGGAAGCCATGGTGGGTTCAATCCTAAGCACAAAAACTCACCATTACTCAAAAACCTCTATACCCTGGACTCCAAACCTTTCTATTTTTCTAAAGTACTGTCAAGAGCTCTGAGACATGCTGGATATGGTGGCACATGCCTGTAATCCCAGTATTTGGGAGGTTGCGATCACCACAAATTCACAAAATTCACAAATTCGCAGCCAGCCTAAACTAGTAAGACTTTCTCTCACTAGACCTTTTTGATAGGGTCTCACTAAACTGCTAAGTGTCCAAAACTGGGCAAAGTTCACCTTCTTTAAAAACATGTGCCTTTTTTTGGTGCCTTATATATGCTAACCATGGGCCCCACCATTAAACGATCACCAACCCTGTATTTGTTATTTTAGCATGCCAAACAAACTCAAAACGTACTTAACTGCATGTCTAACTTGCAAGAAATGATAAAACCCTTGCTGAAGTTCTGCTTTTATCCAAAAGGGCAATGATTGTGTTTGGAGAGAAACATCAGTGATCCATTTACCAAAGACCACTCCCTAAACAATTCACTCATCCTTTCCTACTGGGAAAAAGTCTAAAGATAATCTACTCTAGCGATTGTCTAGTGTTGTTTTGTTTTGGTACCAGGGATCAAACTTGGGTCCTTAAGCTTTCAAGGAAGGCAGTGGAACCAGAGCTAAATCCCCAGCCCTAGTGTTTTTGGAAGACAGGTCTCTCGCTGTCATTCAGGCTGGCCTTGATGTACCCCAGGGTAGCCTCAAATTTGTGGGGATCCTCCTTGCTCCTGCCTCCAGAGTACTGGAATTAGAGGTGTGTGCCACCACACCCAGCACAAATGCCATTTTAAGTTTGTATTTTTCAACATTATTGTGGCACCTGCCTATTATAATCCTATCTACTCAGGAGGCTAAAGCAGGAGAATCACAAAGACCTACTACCCAGGCAATTTGGGGAGAATCTGTCTCAAAATTAAAGGGATGGGGATGTAGTTTAGTGGTAGAGTGCTCACCTAGCATGTGTAAGGCCCTGAGATTAACCCTTAGTACCAAATCACTCTCCAAAAAGATTTTTTCCCGCCTTTTGTGGAGGTGTGTGGAGGTGTGTGTGTGTGTGTGTGTGTATCAGTATTCTTTTTAAACCTAAATAAACCTAGCCCATTATCCTTATATATTCTAATATCCTTAGCTCATTATCACATTTTTAGATCAGCAATTGCATTACTGGCATGCTTATAAATAGGTTTATAAATATGTAGTTATAAAATACAGCTTTGTCCTTTTTCAAGTATCAGTGAACATAGAAATTTTTTCATTTTAAACTCCACTGAAATTATTTTGTACAATGTTAGAAAAGCCTCAGCCAGGTGTGGTGGCGCATGCCTGTAATCCCAGCACTTGGGAGGCTTAGGCAGGAGGATCTCTGTGAGTTCAAGACCAGCCTGGGCTACATAGTGAGTTCCAAGTCAGTCTCAACTACATAAGTGAGATCCTGTCTCAAAAAAACAAAACAAAAAAAGTGTACTTCATATGTAGTTGATTTTATTAGCACTTAAATATTTTTCCTAGGGTTGGGGATGTAGCTCAGTAGCACCTCACCTGCCTCGAAAGTGCAAGGCTCTGAGTTCAATTCCTGGTACCAGGAGAAAAATATTTTCCCCTTGCCCTAAATAAATCTGAACAATAAAGTAATGAGATTCTAATACAGCCAAAACATAATACAAACTTTAGCTGGGCATCCTGGCGCATGCCCATAATCCCAGCACTTTGGAGAATGAGGCAGGAGAATCGTCTTGATATCAAGGCCAGCCTGGACTACAGCGAGACTCCATTTAAAAAAAAAAAAAAACAAAAACACACAAAACAAAACCCCCAAAATTATAGGTTTTTCTGAATGATCCTAATAGGCATTACAAACAAAAGATAGTCTACATGTAAAATACACTTTGAAGGAAATCTAATCAAAAGGATGGTGATCCAGATGATGGGTGCATCTTCCATCCCAATACCTTAAAAATACCCCTTTAAAAAAGCTTTTTTGATGGGCGTGGTGGCTCACGCCTGTAATCCCAGCACTCTGGAGGCTGAGGCAGGAGGATCACTGTGAGTTCGAGACCGGCCTGGGCTACATAGTGAGTTCCAGGTCAGTTTCAACTACATAGTGAGACCCTGTCTCAAAAAAACCCAAAAAACAAACAAAAAAAGTTTGATCTAAAGTCAGACATTTTCAAGGGAGCAACAGAGAGGGGGGTTGAAGACATCTTTAATGGTGCAAAGAAAGATATATTTATGGGAGGAAACGTTCCTCAGGAAAAGAGGCCAAGATAAAAGAAATAGGTAATGAAGAAAAGGAGTGGTGATAAGTACACGATGACCGGAAACACAAAAACAACTGATTTAATTTTTTTATTTAATTTTAATGACAAAGTATTATCCCTGCAAAGATTTAAACATTAGAGATCCATCCTGCCTCGATCCCGGTGTGTTCCTAGGAGTACACACTTTTCTGTGGAGCAGTCCCAACCTTCTTCTGTGGGCCTACAAATGCATTCTAACGAGATTTTTCTTGGACGCCTTCCATAAAGTATAAACCGACTGACACTTTCGTTGTAACACTGAGTTCCTCCCTCAACAACTGCAAGTCTAAAACTCCCCCTCTTCAGGAGCTCCTGTCCACCTACAGGCTCCGGATGAGGTCCACCTATTTAATCGCCCGACTCCCGCGTTCCCCACTGGAGTCAAACCTCTGCCTCTCTGAGGCCAACCTACCGCGCGCTTCGTGCTCACTGGCTCAGTGAGACGCTGCTCAGGAGGGGATAACCCGCCTCCCACATTCCGATGGCCCAAGGGCCGATCAGTCGGCAGCTCGAGGCAGACCCAATTGGCCTATACACTCGCCAGTCAAACTCTTCGGCTGCACAGCTCCAAAGAACCTGCAGGGATAAAACATCCCGCCCCCTGTTCTTCTATTGGTTGGCCCGACCCTTTGCTACCCCTTCACTAGCCCCCCCACCCCAAGATCCATTCATTTCACACAATAACGGGCCAAACTGGGGCCGGTTCAAGACCTCCTATGTATAAGCAAGACTCTCTGCCACTTACCTGGGATCGAGAGTGATCACTCACACTAACGCCCGCCCTGTTCCTCTGTGGTGAGGCTGCACCACAGGTCACTGCTGCCGCCGCCTCCTCCTGCGCAACGCCAACCGCCCGCCAAAACGGATCCTTCCTTGCGCCTGCGCAACCAATCCTGGAACTAGACCCTTTCTCCGCCCACAACGCCTGCGCAAAACAGGGCACAACTCCCGCCGCCACGCAGGCGCCGTAGGCTCACCGCCCTCTCTCGCCCGCCATTTCACGTGTCCCAAACGGCAGGCGGAATTTAATACGCCTGCGTAAACTCGCCATTTTATTACACATGCGCTCAATTGGTAGTCAAAGCGAAGAAAATTTTGTCACAAAATACTTTCCTAACGTGTAGTATTAATCACCCTTTGCAAAGCGGATTGAAAGTAATATCTGGGTTTGGAGGATTAAAAGAGCGTTTAAATCCCAGAACACATTCAAATGTGAACGATTGGCAAGGTAGCCAATCAAACTGGGTAACAGTAACATTCCTCAGAAACCAATGGACTCGAAGAGGCGGAGCCTTCGTAGACCGCCCAAAGGGATGACGTCTAGGGCGTATGCGCATCACGGACCAATAGTAGAGGTAAACTGTTTCAAATGTCCAATGAGAGCTGGATAGGGGCGGAGTCTACCAATAACGTAAGCGCGGAGGCGGGATAAAAAGGCGAGCTAGGAGGCAGGCTGCTGAGTACGGTTGTTAGCTCACTCCTTTTTGCTCGTGGACACCGCCGGGGAAGCATCGTTAGTCTTTCTTCCGACTGCCGTCATGTCTAAATCAGAGGTAAGCAAGACGACTTTGCAACTTTTCTTCCCCGCCTCTTTCCGAGCTCGGTAGGATGCAGCTTGGTTGCATTGCACGCACCAGCGCTTTCAGCAGTTTTTTTCGGTTGCTGCCAGGGCCTACTCCCGAAGTTCAGGTCGCCATTTTGTCCTCGTCGTCGCCATGAGGCCGCTCCCCTCCAACCATTAATTGTCGCTCCGGGATAATTACTCGAGGCCAAACTCACGAGCATATACAGCCTGTTATATACTTTGTTTTCTGAGCAAATGTCTTGAAAGAGTTATTGGTGTGTTCTTGGAGACACACTCTCCCGCCCTGGCCTTTTGTTGGCGCCTGCGTCTGGAGTGGAGTAGGGACGCATGCGCTTGGAGCTGCCCAGCCTTCCGCGCACCACCTCTCCTGGAGGGAGAAGCACGTGTTTTGTTTGGTGCGGCCTGGGCGAACAATGAGTGCTTCTTAGGTTGGTGCCTGCTTTTGCTTTTTCAAAATCTTGCAGCTTCACTAAATGCTCCCCTTCCCCACTCTAGTCTCCTAAGGAGCCCGAACAGCTGCGGAAGCTCTTCATCGGAGGGCTGAGCTTTGAAACAACAGATGAGAGCCTGAGAAGCCATTTTGAGCAATGGGGAACACTCACAGACTGTGTGGTAAGAACTGGAAGGGCCAAAAGGCCATATAACTAGATGATTCCTGAGCTTATCGGACTGTCGTTCCTGCTTGATCGTTTATGGAGGTATTTCATGGAATTATAGAAGTAATTTGGCAAAGGAACTAGCTTTGTTATCCAGTGTTCGACGTTACTCTAAATCTAGTGGGGAGCTGACTTTGTATACAGGCTTGGTGTAAAGTTTCTTGTTGACCACACTTGAAGTAGAAATAACACCAATTTCCGGGGACAGACCATGCGTTAATGAATTGACTTTTCTCAGGTAATGAGAGATCCCAACACCAAACGTTCCAGGGGCTTTGGGTTTGTCACTTATGCCACTGTGGAAGAGGTGGATGCAGCCATGAATGCAAGGCCACACAAGGTGGATGGAAGAGTTGTGGAGCCAAAGAGAGCTGTCTCAAGAGAAGTGAGCGATTATTTCTGCCCTTTATTTTTCCTGGTGATATGCTAATCCTGATACCAGGTTTCAAAAGATCTAAATTTTTTTTTAAGTTCTTTAAAATGTGAGGACAGGTTCTGCTCATCTAAATAACTCGAGCTGTCTTTATTATTAGGATTCTCAAAGACCAGGTGCCCACTTAACTGTGAAGAAGATCTTTGTTGGTGGCATTAAAGAAGATACTGAAGAACATCACCTACGAGATTATTTTGAACAGTATGGGAAAATTGAAGTGATTGAAATCATGACTGACCGAGGCAGTGGGAAGAAAAGGGGCTTTGCTTTTGTAACCTTTGATGACCACGATTCTGTGGATAAGATTGTCAGTAAGTAGCAAGTTAGCATTTTCTAAGGGCTCTTAAAATCATGTTTGCTGGGTGTGGTGGTGCTCGCTTTTAATCCCAGCACTCGAGGCTGAGGCAGGAGAATTGCTATGAGTTCGAGGCCAGCCTGGGCTACATAGTGAGTTCCCAGTCAATCTCAACTACATAGTGAGATCCTGTCTCAAAAAAACAAAACATAATGTTTAAACCCTAAGGTCTTGTTTGCCTTTAAATTTTTTTAGTTCAAAAATACCATACTGTGAATGGCCACAACTGTGAAGTGAGGAAAGCCCTGTCAAAACAGGAGATGGCTAGTGCTTCATCTAGCCAAAGAGGTATGTTTAGTGCTTAGTTAAACCTTAAGAGGTAAATTTGAGCTACTGCAAACTTTTAACACTTGAATTTTAATTTCTTTAAGGTCGAAGTGGTTCTGGAAATTTTGGTGGTGGCCGTGGAGGTGGTTTTGGTGGCAATGACAATTTTGGTCGTGGAGGAAACTTCAGTGGTCGAGGTAAGGCTACACAATAACTTTGTAATCTTATCTGTCATTTTTGTAACTGTTAGCCTACATTTTCAGTTACATTTTGTCTAGTTTCCTAACCCAAATATAGTTATTTTTAAAAAATTGTATTTGTTGCACAATTAATATATGTTATCACACCTAATTTAAAATTTCACTTCCAGGTGGCTTTAGTGGCAGCCGTGGTGGAGGTGGATATGGTGGCAGTGGGGATGGCTACAATGGATTTGGTAATGATGGTAAGTTTTTAAAGGAGTATGTAAGTAAAATTTTCTGGCAACCTGTACCTTTAGAATAGGCTAGTAGAAACTAAAACTAGTGCATGACAAGCTCACCTCAGCCCATAATACGCATGCTGTGAACAGGCCTTCAGCCGTTACACTGAACATATTTTTATTGTTAAATACTTTTGTCTTATTGAGAAGAATTGTATTCTTGTAGGTGGTTATGGAGGAGGCGGCCCTGGTTACTCTGGAGGAAGCAGAGGCTATGGAAGTGGTGGACAGGGTTATGGAAACCAGGGCAGTGGCTATGGCGGGAGTGGCAGCTATGACAGCTATAACAACGGAGGAGGCGGAGGCGGCTTTGGCGGTGGTAGTGGTAGGTATCCAGTGATCCAAGTACTTGGTGTGATAGCTAGATTAGCTTTTTAGAGTTTGTGACCTTACTGGAATTTGAAGCTCTTAAAGCGTGTGGCACACTGCATGGTATATTATGAACAAGCTTGCTGTGCTACCTCCTCCTGGCTTTAAGCTGGGGCCGCCTCACTCCCAAATAAGTAGATGGATAAGTGGATAGTGGTGTCTTGAATTTAAGTTAGATTAGCATCACTGTGGCAGGATGTATCTAAACTTCTTTGGGACCTTAGGCATTTAGTTGATCTATATCCACAAAAGTTGGTTACACTGGCCTGGGATGCATAAAGGCCTTCAAGACTGGAGAGTGCTTGTGAGTACCACTAAGGAAAACTCAAAATTGTGTCATGGTGAGTTCAGTTGGGTTTTTTCTTTTAATTCTGGCTTATTCATGAATGCCTTACCCAGAGAGTGAAGTATAAAGAATTTGGAGGACCAGTTTGGGAGGAAGGAAGGCAGCTAATGTAGCCTCTTTCATTCTGAACACTAAGCACAGTTGGGCACCATCCATCATCTTCTCCAAGTAACAGATAAGGGCCTTTTTCCATTTCTAGGAAGCAGTTTTGGAGGTGGTGGAGGCTACAATGATTTTGGCAATTACAACAATCAGTCTTCAAATTTTGGACCTATGAAGGGAGGAAACTTTGGAGGCAGAAGCTCTGGGCCCTATGGTGGTGGAGGCCAGTACTTTGCCAAACCACGAAATCAAGGTATACTATCTAGTAATAATGGCGGAGGGTAGAAAATTACATTAACTCATCAAATTTGTTGTGTGTGAACAGTAAAATGCTACTATTTAAAGTCATCAAACTTGGTGATTTGCAATCAAATCCATTTGTCAGTTTAGGCAAGGTTTATTTTGAATAGTGGGGTTCATGAACTTGAACTTTAACTAATAATAAAGTCATTTCAGCTGGGGATTTAGCTCAGTGGCACCAGGCCTGCCTCATAAGCACAAGGTCCTAAATTCAATCCCCAGTACCCAAAAAGAACCTATGTATGTATTTGCAGTAAATCACTGCTTCCAAAGTCTAAACGAGACTTTATTTTAGGTGGCTATGGCGGTTCCAGCAGCAGCAGTAGCTATGGAAGTGGCAGAAGGTTTTAATACTGCCAGGTAAGCAACCCCTTTTTTTGTGTTGACTTAAATTTTTCATAATTGCTGATAAACACAGTAACCCTAATGTAGCTGAGCAGTACAACATAGTTAACATTATAATTGCAGTAAAATTGTGGATGTTAATGTTCAGATCAGCAAAATTTGTGGGAAACAACTTGCTGTTGGATTATAGCCTTGAGTCTTATTATGTTTAGATTAACAACTTTATTCCATATTGTTCAACAGGAAACAAAGCTTAGCAGGAGAGGAGAGCCAGAGAAGTGACAGGGAAGCTACAGGTTACAACAGATTTGTGAACTCAGCCAAGCACAGTGGTGGCAGGGCCTAGCTGCTACAAAGAAGACATGTTTTAGACAATACTCATGTGTATGGGCAAAAAAAACTCGAGGACTGTATTTGTGACTAATTGTATAACAGGTTATTTTAGTTTCTGTTCTGTGGAAAGTGTAAAGCATTCCAACAAAGGGTTTTAATGTAGACTTTTTTTTTGCACCCATGCTGTTGATTGCTAAATGTAATAGTCTGATCATGACGCTGAATAAATGTGTCTTTACTGGGCCCTATGGTGGTGGAGGCCAGTACTTTGCCAAACCACGAAATCAAGGTATACTATCTAGTAATAATGGCGGAGGGTAGAAAATTACATTAACTCATCAAATTTGTTGTGTGTGAACAGTAAAATGCTACTATTTAAAGTCATCAAACTTGGTGATTTGCAATCAAATCCATTTGTCAGTTTAGGCAAGGTTTATTTTGAATAGTGGGGTTCATGAACTTGAACTTTAACTAATAATAAAGTCATTTCAGCTGGGGATTTAGCTCAGTGGCACCAGGCCTGCCTCATAAGCACAAGGTCCTAAATTCAATCCCCAGTACCCAAAAAGAACCTATGTATGTATTTGCAGTAAATCACTGCTTCCAAAGTCTAAACGAGACTTTATTTTAGGTGGCTATGGCGGTTCCAGCAGCAGCAGTAGCTATGGAAGTGGCAGAAGGTTTTAATACTGCCAGGTAAGCAACCCCTTTTTTTGTGTTGACTTAAATTTTTCATAATTGCTGATAAACACAGTAACCCTAATGTAGCTGAGCAGTACAACATAGTTAACATTATAATTGCAGTAAAATTGTGGATGTTAATGTTCAGATCAGCAAAATTTGTGGGAAACAACTTGCTGTTGGATTATAGCCTTGAGTCTTATTATGTTTAGATTAACAACTTTATTCCATATTGTTCAACAGGAAACAAAGCTTAGCAGGAGAGGAGAGCCAGAGAAGTGACAGGGAAGCTACAGGTTACAACAGATTTGTGAACTCAGCCAAGCACAGTGGTGGCAGGGCCTAGCTGCTACAAAGAAGACATGTTTTAGACAATACTCATGTGTATGGGCAAAAAAAACTCGAGGACTGTATTTGTGACTAATTGTATAACAGGTTATTTTAGTTTCTGTTCTGAGGAAAGTGTAAAGCATTCCAACAAAAGGTTTTAATGTAGACTTTTTTTTTGCACCCATGCTGTTGATTGCTAAATGTAATAGTCTGATCATGACGCTGAATAAATGTGTCTTTTTTTTAAATGTGCTGTGTAAAGTTAGTCTACTCTGAAGCCATCTTGGTAAACATCCCCAACAGTGTGAAGTTAGAATTCCTTCAGGTTGATGCCAGGTTCCATTTAAAATTTCTTCACAATTGCTTGGGTAATGAAGCCGTTGTCTTCAGAAACCTTGGTGTAGTTGAACTGACAATTACTGTTGTGACCTGAATTTGACCATTGAAAAGGTCACCCAAGCAAGCAGAGTCAGTTACTTACTTGGTTATAAAAATGATTGTTGGCACATCCTATACAATATCTAAATTGAATAATGGTACCAGATAAAATGATAGATGGGATTGAAGCTGTGTATCATCCATTATCATGTGTAATCAATAAACGATTTAATTCTCTTGAATGGAATGACAACTGTATGGATTTGGGACTGGCAGAGATTTGTACTTTTTTCCCTACCCATTCATTGCCCCTGATAAATGTTGAATGCTTCTATCACAATACAAGTTCAAAGCTCTGCCAGAGAATAGCAACCAGCTGCTGGCTAAAGCTGCCCCATAAATCCAGATTAGAAATTTTGGGAAGCTTTTTTTTTTTTTTTTTTAAGTTACAAGTACTAGTAAGAATTTTAATCAACAAATAGTTTTACATTAAAGGAAAACTGCAGTTTTGCTGGGTCGTGGGTGGGTGGGTCTTCAGGTCAGGTCAATTATTTGGAGATTAAAGCCAAGAAATAATTTTCTGCATGATTTCATGTTCACTGCAGTTTTCCTTTAAATATGGCACAAGGTCACACAACCATTCTTAAAAGTGTTTATTGTATAGAAATTCCAAACTATTCCAACCATTGTTATCTGTATAGTTTCTTTCGAGCCTTCCCTTTGGTACTCAACTTTGGTGCCATTGTACTTCAGCAGCATAGATTCTTGTTTATCATTAGGATTGTGTATCCATCTGATGGGTGTGTTACTTGGAAGTCTGGGGAGGAGGGTTGGGGGAAGTGGGGTGGGAGGTGTGGGGGGTGGGAAAGCATGGACATTAGATCCATGATACTGGCTGAGTTTGCAATAGCAGGCGGAACCTTAACTATTGAGGGAGTTTGCAGATACCTCAGGATTCGTGACAATGCCTTTAAAGATCCAGGAGATGTTCAGCTACTAGGAACTGCTAGCAAGTATAGCGCGAATGGCTCCGAGCTCAGACACTCTGCAGCTGAGAGTAGACACTTATGGTATGTGGAGTACAGATAAGCCAGGGGCAGGCCACGGCACTCTCCAGGAAAGCTAGGAGAGAGTGAAGTTTCAGTGACCATCGCAAGGAAGGAGGCAGACAAGAGTAAGGCACACCTGACTCTTAGGACTAGCAGTAAGAACCAGGAGGAAAGGTTTTATTGCTATTCTGGTAGGTAAGAACAGATTTTACTTACATCCATTTAGTTAACCTAAAATCCAAGTTTTCTATTGCATTTTCCTTAATATATTGAGCCAAAACTAGTCCAGTTAAGCTGAACTTGGTTTTTCTGGAGATAGTTTTAAATTGATACCCTACTATTGTTGGCTCTTAAATGAAATAAATGAGCACATTAATTCTATTATGAAGATATTTTTGCCCATTAATTTTACTCATTTCTTTGGCCCATTTCATTAAAACAATGGCTCAATGCATTAGAACCCTTTCCCCAAAATGGTGGGAGGTAGGGTGGGCCACTAGTGGGAGGAAGGGGTGGGGGTTGTAGCTACAAGATGGGCCTTGGTCTCAGAAAATGAGCCAGTTCTAAAGATTGTTTACTTTTCTAGGGGAGGAATCTGCTACTACAAGCTTTATCAGCTGTTATTTTTTTTTTAAACTTCCAAGTTCATAGCCAAAAGGTAAGTTTTTTTAAATTAATGACCAAGAGTAATTTGTATTCCTAAATTAAAGAGTGACAGGCATGCTTCCTAGTGAGACCAAAAGGTCTAGTCAAGCAAGTTGTGATCACGAAAATGTTACTAGAGCAACTATCTCGGCTGGGGTGTATGTAGCTCATGGGTAGAGCTTCAGGTTGATATATGATAGGGCCACCGACCAGTTTACCACTAATGTACATTCCTAACCCTGTTGAGAGTTTCTGAATTGCCCAGGCTTGCCCTAAAACTTAGGATTCTCCTGCCTCATCCTCCTGAGTAATTTGGATTATAGCAGATGTCCCATCTCCAGCTACAAAGGGTAGTTTTGGGTGTTTAGTACAAGATTTTGCGTGGGCTAGGCTGGCTTTGAATTTAACTGCTGCTGCTTCTGCCTCCCTAGTGCTAGGACAACAGGTGTGTACTGCCACACCTGGCAAAAGAGGTCACTCAAGGGCAGTCTGGTGTTTTCAGTAATGGTAGGTATTGTAGAACCCTGTGACTTTGCTTATGTAAAAATATTTCATGAGCTCTTTTTCCTTTTGCAGGGGACATCCTTGTGAGGACAGACAGCCTTTATCTGAGCCACTACTTCATTCTCACTGCCATGCAGTTGGTTTTAGCTGTTCTGCAGCTCTGATTAATCATTCAAGTTTGTGAATGGGTTTTTAAATAAACTACTTTAATTCAGCTTATTTTCCTTGCCTTCCTTTATGGTACAGCTCGCATCCTGTTTTCATATGTGGGAGTGGGAAGAAAATATGTCAGTGATCCATTTCTCTGGTAAACTAGGGTTTAGCAAAGCCTCACCCTTGTAAGTTACATGTCGGACGTAGGGCTATATTAAATAGGTGGTCACTGACATTTAAAGCCAGATGTTTCAGAAACTTAAAACAGCATAGACGTTTAAAATGAAATCGTGGGCCAAGGATTAGCTCAATAGTGCTGTGCCTGCCTGGCAAGTGCTAGGTCCTAAACTGATAACTTGTACCCAAAAAAGAATGAAGTGTTGGCATTCACATTGGGATCCTGTAAAATGGTTTCTATGGCTAGGTTTTGCTGTTTTCAGGTTTGTACTAAGTTGTGGTTTAATAGAACCAGGCCTTCATTAGGAGTAATGTTTCCAGATAAGCTGTGTACCACTGCTCTGCTAGGGCACTTCTTAGCTCTGGCAAGGAAAAATCAAATTGTACAAGTTAATGGGTGCTGAGCTGAATGCTGGGAGCTGTTTACGTTGAGGGGGGGCTTAACAGCAGATGCTCAGTAAATAGGGCAGATGGAATCAAAATAACCCCCCAGGCACTGAGATGTCATAATTGTGTACACACCTGAGCACACTGCCCTTGAGCATCCAAGTAAAATATTCCACCCAGATTGCTTATCCCCTTTGAAACCTATGTAAATTTAATTCCTTTCCCAGTTAGGGGAAGTAGCTAATACTTGTGGTGTTAGCCCACTCACCCATGGATGAAATCTCCCGGCTAGCTTCTACTACCCCAGTGTCAGCCCTTCCACACATGAATGTGATAAACTTGACTTCCAAGCCAGCTGCTAGAATCTCCCCGAGTGCTTCCTGTCTACAAAAAAACTCAAAAGTCTGTTTTGACAAGTGGATTCTTTATAATAGGGTCTTGATAAGTTGTCCTGGTTGGGTTCACATTTACCATCCTGCTTCATCCTCCCAGAGTACTGAGAATGTAGGTGTCCTATAGCTGGCATCAACCAGAAATTTAAGAGCAGTACAGAAGCAATAACTAACTACATGGTAGCAAATGCTGAAGTTTCTCAGGTTCACCTGTCCAGCCTAAATTTTGAAACAGTAGGGCTGGGCTGGGAATTTAGCTCAGTGGCACTGCTGCCTCAGCAAGCAGAAGGTCCTGAATTCCCTCTCCAGTACCAACAGAAACAAATAGGGCTGGCTATGATGGGCCCTCCTGTAACCTTAGCACTTAGGAAGCTGACAAGAGGATTGGTAGGAGTTAGGCCAGCCTGAACTGAACTATGTAGGGATAAGGTAAATTCTAGAGAAAAGCTTGCCTTGACTCATTCTGAAATCCTCTACTTAGGGGCCTAAGGTATCTTAAATATCAGAAGAATGATCCAGCTTTCCTTAGGCAATAAACTTGAGTGTGAATTCACTATGGAGACTAGGCTTGCCTGGAACTTGGTCATTGGTTTCTCTATTTGAAACAAATTTGCTAGAAGAGGGTTCTAATTTTGGATAATATTGGAAGCATAAGATAGTTCACTGACATAACAGCTTGATTAAATATTTCTATTAAAAAATTTACATTCTGGGGATTTAGTTCAGTGGTTCTGCTGCCTGCCTCACAAGCTCAAGGTCCCAAGTTTGATCACCAGTACCAAAAAAAAAAAAAAAAAAAAACTTACTATCACAATCCATGTACTTCACTGTACTGTATGTTTATACAAGGTTGAAGAGTAAATTCATATTTTCTAGGTAAGCAAGTAGATTCAAGGAAGATAACCTTGTCAAAGTTCCTGCACCCACTGGATCTCATAACTCAGACAACACCACAGACAATTCTGTACCCCATAGTACTGTATACCCCATTTCAGTGCAATTTCTGTGGCAGCACAGTGTTTTCTCTCCTGTTTATCATCAAATCTGGAACTTAACTAGGTAAATGTCTGAATGTGCCTGTTATTTATTACCTTTTTTATGAACTTGGGTAGAATAGAAAAATCCTTAGGGAAAATACAATCAAACTTGCAGACAGTCCAAGACCGTGCCCTTTACAGTTTGAAATATAGGAATATTGTCAATCTTTTGAATGAATTTAAAAGTGGACAAGCTGCCTGGAGTATATTCAAATCTGTTGGGAATACAGAAATTCAAATTGGTTTCTTGCCTTAAACTAGGGCCAGAACTACATTTTCCAAAACCTGTGAGTGTGGACATTCTACATTCCTTTGTATCTCACATCACTTGGCTGCTTTTGGGTCCCAATGCGTGTAGTGTTTAACTCAAACCTGGAAGTAGATTTCCTGTTGAAGCTTATAAAACAGGACAGGGAAAAACAAAAACCTCCAAAGAGGTTCATTGTGTGATTCAGTGACTGGAAAGATTGGGAACCACTTACCTCCAAGGAGATTGTATATGCTGGTGTCAGGGAGGCTTGATTGGGCTTTTTTGGGGGGGCTGGGGTGTGAGATGGTATGTAGTTCAGGCTAGCCTAAAACAGTGATCCTTCTGCCTCAGCCTCCCAAGTGCTGGGATTACAGGTTTGTGCCACCACACCCAGTGGTTTGACTGGATTTTGATGTGGCTCAAGAACCTGAAATTTCACTGGGTGTGGTGGCACATACCTGTAATCCCAGCACTTGGGAGGCTGAGGTAGCAGGATACTGTCAGTTCAAAAAGTCAGCCTGAGCTACACTTTGAGACCCTGTCTCAAAAACAAAACAAAAAAAAATCTGAAATTTAGTCAACTATTGTTACAAGGGAGAGAGAAAGTATTGGATAGTGTTTTATCTACCATAACCAGAGAGAAAGGTTCACAAGAATTCATATTTTATTCCACTGTGCAACAGATTTTACCAAAGGCTTGAGTGAAATGCTTTGAAATTTCAGTGTCTAATCAAACTCTCCTTCCACTTGAGAACAGCCCAAACTTCTGAGAGAGTTCTGCCACATCAGGACCCAGGCTGGGTGAGGAGGAAAATAACAGAAAAACAGGCTCGTGGGCATTCTAGGTTGTGTTTTGTTTTGTTGTCATTGTTCCAAGATTTGAGAAAGAAAAGACCTAAACTTCAGTTATCTTACATTGAAAATGTAGCCAGCCTTGAGAGTTCTCCAGCTTTAGGAATAGGGAGCCGCTGAGGCAGGAAAATTGCAAGTTTGAGGCCAGCCTTGGCTACCTAGTAAGTCCTCCTTGCCAACAACAAGCAGTGATCTGTGAGGAATGTTCAACTTCATCACCTCCCTCAAGAAAGAAGACACAGGGTGTGGTGCCTCATGCCTGTAATCCCAACACTCAGGAGACTAAGGCGGGGAACCACCATGAGTTTGAGGCCAACCTGGGCTACATAGTTCAATGCCAGCCTGAACTACATAGCGAGACCTTGTCTCAAAAAACCAAAAAAAGCCGGGTGTGGTGGTGCACACCTGTAATCCCAGCACTCGGGAGGCTGAGGCAGGAGGATCACTGTGAGTTCGAGAACAGCCTGGGCTACATAGTGAGTTCCAGGTCAGTCTCAACTACATAGTGAGACCCTAGCTCAAAAAACAAAACAAAACAAAGACACAATGAAAAGCTATTTCTGTAAGAGCTCTTTATAGACCAAAGCCTAGACAAGAGGAAGAGGTTGGGTTGGGAAGCTAAGTCCCTTCCCTGGCCTCCAGGCAAGCCTCAGTGAACATGCCTTGGAACTTCCAGATGCCGGCTTCCCCTTGTCCTCTTGGTCTAGAGAACTTAGCACCTTTTAGGTCTCACGGCGGGGAGTACCTTTATCTGAAGGGAATAAGGGAAATACATCCCCAGCATGTCTCCCCCACTCTGGGTGCTCAGTCTGTGGCCTCCATCTTGACCCCCCGGGGTACCAGGAAGATGGCCCCGTCCGCAGCCTGTTGCAGTGCATACTCTTCAGGGGAGTAGCTGTTGCCTGCCTCATCCCGAAGGTGCTGGAAGATGTCACGGTACAGCTCTGCCAGTTGTTGGCGCATGACTTCCAGGGTGCGGTCGGCCTCCCCGCGGGCCCTGAGAAGCCGCTCCCTTTCGTTGCCCAGCCGTTCCAGCTCGCGCTCCAGCTGTACGATGGTCTCCAGCTTTCTCTTGCGGCAGTTCTGGGCAGCCACCTTGTTCTTGCCTCGCCGTCGGATGTCCCGAACTAGCGCCAGCTGGCTCTCCGTCAGCGGATACCGTGCCAACAGCTCATTAAAGTCATCTACCGGCAAGTTGACAATCTTGTCCGTTGGGAAGGGGATCTTCATGGCCAGTGCCCGCCGCTCATCCCGACTGCCCGCCTCCCCCCGTGCAGCAGGCTTAGCTCGCACAGGGCCCGTGGACGGCTCTAAGGCCATGGGGGGCTCAGCGGAAGGCAAGGCATAGTTGGGGTGCGCCAAGGAGCCGGGCATGAGTGAATAAGCGTACTCCACTGGGTACATCTCTACATATTCGCTTCGCCGCCGACCGGCCTCTGTCCCCTCCAGCTCAAGAGATTCCGCATCACTGTAGTTGAGGGATAGTCCTGAATCGGATTCTGGGTCCTCTTGGGTCTTGGGTGGCCCCGCTGGCAGCCCAATGTCCAAAAGGGCTAAGGGGTCTGGGAGGGGCTCGTTGAGCAGGCCCGAGAGGGTCAGTGGCTTGGGGACCGGTATGGCCATGTTGCTGTAGGAGTATGGGGGATCTGGGACATGGGACGCAGAAGCTGGGAGTTCGTAAGATGGTGGAGGAAGGGGGAAGCCCGTGTCTGGGTGCACTGAGCAGTAGGAGAGAGATGGCGGAGGTCCAGGGTATGGGGTTGAGGCTTGGATTTCAAATGATGGCTCACTGGGAGCATTTAGACCCTGTAAGGAAAGACACAAATAATTTGTTTTTGTTTTTTTGTTTGTTTGTTTCTTTTGAGACAGGGTCTCACTAGTAGTTGAGATTGACCTGGAACTCACTGTGTAGCCCAGGCTGGTCTCAAACCCACAGAGATCCTCCTGCCTCAGCCTCCCGAGTGCTGGGATTACAGACGTGTGCCACCACGCCCTGCAAGACACAAAGAATTTGAAGACAAGCTGAGAAAAGAAACCAGCAAATCAGGTACAATGGTGCATGCCTGTAATCCCAGGTACTTAGGAGCCTGAGGTGGGAAGATTACAGTTTCCAGGTTGAACAGCATGTCCAAGAGAGACACCCACTCATTCTGGACTTGTCAGGATCAAGTGGGGTCCTTCTGAAAGACTCCATGAAATGAAATGGTAACAAGAGAGCGGAAAATTGTCAAAAATCACTGGAAGCACTGGGCATAGTGGTGCATGCCTGTGACCCCAGCACTTGGGAGGCTGAGGCAGGAGGATTGCAGTGAGTTTGAGGCCAGCCTGGGCTCCATAGTTCAGTAGCCTGAACTGTATAGTGAGACCCTGACTGAAAAAAAAGAAAAAAAAAAAATAGAAGTTTCTGAAGTCAGCTTCAGAAGAGACCAGCCTAACTAACCCTGGAAGTTACAGAACCTGCTCAGAAGCAGCTCTTAGTAGAAATGACTCCTTGAATTCTTTCAGGAAAATAAGTCCATGTTATCCAAGATGACCCCTCAGCACCCTTTCCTGCTGTGGTTACCAAGGGTCAAAGGGTCAAGTGCACTCCCCAGCCATGCCCTGGGTACCCAGCAGAGGGAGCCATTGTGTGGAAAGGAGGGGTGGGGCAGATCCTGAGGGCCCCAGGCCCAGTGGAAGGGGAGGGCTGGGAGGCACCAAGCATCTTGGGGAGCCAGCACAAGCTCTGCCCTCTCCTTTCAGTGCCTGCCCAGGTGCAGTGAGGAGAGAACATGCTGGAAACAAGGCCCCCAACCCACATCAGGGAGCCACCCTGCTCCAGGGCAGCCTGGGACAAAGGCATCATTGTTAAGCCAACAGACACCCCTTTGTCCAAACTGTAGGAGGAGAGGACCCCAGCATAGCCTGACTCTCCTTCCTGAGGCCCCTGAACTACTGCTCTGCTACCTGGGAGAAATGGGACCAGTTGCTAAGGGCAGGGGAGAAAAAGAGGGAAGATGGGCAGGGCTGGAGGGGGGGAGGTCAGAAGGGAAGAGAGGGAGGACAGAGCAGGGGAGTAGAGTGAAAGACCTGAGCAGAATGCCTGCTGCAAGAAGCCTAGACCCAGTCAGACCCCTCCCTCCCCGGCACGCCTATCCCCTGCTCACCCACACTCCCTTTCCCCAGGTTCCTCAGGGTTTCCATCCACATCTCCCACGTACTCCAGCACTTCTTTTCCAGGGCCTGTAACATTTCTAGCCCTGAGCCCTTTCCTCCCCATCCCTGCCTCCCTTGGGCCAGAATCCCTGCTCCTCCCTTCTTCCTAGCCCTCCTCACCTGCAGCTCAGTGATGGACATGATCTCTTGCCAAGTCAGTTCCATCTCACCCAGCTCCAGTGTGGGCAGCTGAGTCCCCCTGTTCCTGCTCTGCTGAGGAGGACACAGGGGCATCCTACTGGGCCAGGGTCTGGGCCAGGTTTTCCCAAAGCCCAAAGGGCCCAGCAACCTGTGCAGAAGGGAGAAAGGCATTAGAGCTGCTCCTGCTAGATTTGGCATGTGTCCTGCCTCTCTGAAGGGGTCCCCCCAGCTTCACCCCCACTCACCCTGGACTTGTCAGCCTCCCCCTTCACCCAGCAAGTTCTTCTCTGTGCTGTGGACTCTATCTCACCTATTACAGCCACAGTCACTTCCTTTGGGAGCACGCAGGTCTTTACCTTTTTTTCCAGTAAGATGCCTTCTTCCTCCCCTACTTGTCACTCCCCCAAACTGTAGTCATGGCCACAGACAGAGTGAGATCTTCCGGGGTTTTTTGGTTGGTTTGTTTTATCATTTTGTGAGGAAACATCAAGAGTTTCCCCTGCTTTCCTCCCGTGTCCTCAGTTTTAGGGTCTCAACCTTCTTCCCTCAAGATGAGACTAAGTGCTTGGGGATCCCCAAAAAGTGTGTTGTTGTGGGAAGTGCTAGGCAGACAGCCCACCCCCTTCTGGAAGATATGGCCCAGGCCTGGCTGCCGATAGCAGCCCTGCCCTCTCCTCCTATCCTGAGCCTGGGCTCCCCTGCCTGGGCCAGACAGATAAGAGGTTTATCAGCTTCAGGCAGCAGAGGCAAAGGAGGATTGGGCTCCAGAGACACTGAACCTCCCTACGCTGTGTCCCCCAGGGGCATCTTGGCCATACCACAACCCACCCAGGGGCATCTCTTGTCTTCCAAGGTAAATAGCAACCATAGCAAAGACTTAGTTAATAAGCACTTGTCGAGAGCTGTGCCAGTGAGATTGATTTTCACAAAGATCTTGGAAAGTCCATTCAGAAACTGAGACCCAAGCTACCAAAAAAAGAAGGAAAGAGAAAAAGAAACTCAAGCTGGTAAATGGAACGATGAGGCCTGGGACCTAACTTCTTCGCTCCCCTGCAGTGCCTTCCCACCGCACTCCTGGGTCTCTCTGCTCAGAGCCAGGCCTGGCTGCCCTCCTCATTCCATCTGCACGACGGGGTCTCAGTCCCTTTTCTCCTGGGCAATATGTTTCTTTAGATCCTTGAATCCATACTGCCCTCCAGCCCCTCTCTCTTCTTTTGGCCTCACATCTAGCGGCAGCTCTACCACACAGCAGCAGTGCAATGTTGGGCAATCCGTCTCACTGCTCTGGGCCTGTTTCCTCCTTTGTAAAACCAGGGAGTTGGACTACTTCAACTTGGAGGTCCCTTTCCACCTGGTCAATTTAGCGTTCTTAGCAAGCTCTCCCTCATACGTTGATCATCTGCTCTGCTGGTCCCTCTTCTCATGCTACCTCTCTACACCCTGACACTCGTTTCTGCATCTGTTCTTGTCTGCTGCAAAAGAGTCCAACTTGGCAGGAGCCTTCTGATGTCTTAGGTCAAACACACACACACACACACACACACACACACACACACACCAGCCAAACACGCCACCACCACAAAAGTAAGAAAGGGAGGCAAGCTGAGGGTGAAGGAAACATTGCAGGATAGAGAATAGGACTGAGTGATATCAGATTGCATGACTTTAGACCACCCACCCACTGGGCCCACTGCAGCTATCCAATATGGGATCCACTGTTGGAATGATCATGAAGTTAGCAAGAGCCACAGATTATCCTTTTGAAAGAGGATCTCCCTGTGCCACTTGGCCCGCCCCTTTGTTACAGTGCCATCTCCAGAGCTGAGAGTTGGTGTGGGCACAAGCCCTTGGCCGGTAGGCAGAGTGGGTGGGGTATTTGTCTGTCCATTTCAACACCGGAACCCTACTGTCCCCACCCAGGTTCTGGCGGAAATTGCCCAAAAGGCAAAGTGAATGGAGAACGGGTTTGGGGGCAGGAACCACAACTCTTGCCTCATAGTTCTTCATCCACCCCACCCCTCTTTGGTCTCTCCTTCTATCCTCCTGGTTCTAAGGTGCAGTACAAAGATCCTGCCCTAGGAGGCAGAAGACCAAGTTCTCTCGCCTTCGAAATGCTACCTAACCTTGGGCAAAGGGCTTTCCATTGAGTCTCTTCTATTCATCGGAGGACTAGAGAATCTCAGCGCTGTGGAGGTCTCCAACTGCGTCTGGCTCAGGGAGTCACAATTTACTGTGCATCACACTCAGCTGGGGTACGTGTAAAAACAGACTCCTGAAAGCCACCTCAGTTCTGCTGAACTGAACTCACAGAACAGGTACTGAAAACCAGCATTTTAATGAGCATCCTGGTGACTCTGATGCAACTGGCCAATCTTACCTCGAAAAGCACTAGACTAGTCCAACGGTATGCACTTACAGGGGTGAACACAAAGCCAGATGGAGATCAAAGAATGTTCTCTAAGCTTCTTCAGGCCTTCAACCCTTGAGCCAGGGAAGGTTGGCCTCCAGCCTGTCTTTGAGCCTAGCTATCAGCCCTTTCTCATGAAATGCTGACGCTCAGTCTCCCCTTCTCCTGGGGACAGGAAAGTGAGAGTGTGGGAGGGGAGCCGGGGAAGGCTGGGAGGAGAGGGAGTTGAGGAGAACCTCTGGACCAGCCCCACCAGCTCTCTGGTGCAGCAGCAAGTTTGCTGCTTTACCAGACACCCAGGGTGAGTGGTGATGGTCTGCACACCAGGCATGGGCCTCCCTTAGGATCCTTAGGAGCCTACCTTGCAGAAGACTGGTGAGTTGGTACCCAGTAGAATAGGCCAGGGGAAAGTGTACTCAGAATTGGATCAAACAGAATGCCACAGGGGTCCAGAAACAGGGGAGAGGCTGGAAAAGTGTGAATAAGCAGCTCCCACCATACATGTTAACCTACATTTTAAGGTCACACAACAATCTTGCTCCATGGAGTTGCTTTTCCTTCTTCTCTTATTCCGCAGCATTATGGATCAGCTAGAACTGGTACCATCTCCAAGAACTCAAATGCATCCTCCTCAGCCAGGCATGGCGGTGCACGCCTGTAATCCTAGCACTCAGGAGGCTGAGGCAGGAGAACTGCAGAGAGTTCAAGGCCAGCTTGGACTATACAGTGGGTTCGAGGCCAGTCTACACTACACAGCAAGACTCTGTCTCAAAAAAACTAAAAAACAAAACAAACAAAAAAAAAACCTCTTCCTCCTCACTCAAATTCTGAGGTCTTAGAAAGCTGTTTTGTTTGTTTTGTTTTATTTTTTTGGTGCCAGGAATCAAACCCAGGGCTTGCTAGATGCTAAGCAAGCACTCTACCACTGAGCTACACACCTAGACCCCCAGAAAGATTGTATCACAATATAAGTACCTTACAGAATGATACAGAGCTTTGTGCTTAGAATCACTGGTGAGGGAGTCTAGGGAGAGGAAGACATTTGGCCTCCACCATTGTCCTAGGACTCTTGGCAAAAGGGAATCACGGAGAGGAGGCCTGCCTCAGGGTCCCGTTTGGGGGCTTATTAGACTACGCCACCTCTCCAGGTGTCAGTGTAGACACTAGAAGGATGGGGAGGCATCAGTAAAACAGGATGTAGACTGGCAAGTGAGCAAACCAATTAGGAAGATCAGGGAGAACTCCCAAAGTAGGAGAGGCTGACAGAGGTTACAGAGAGATGCACAAAATGAAAGAAAAAGGAAGAGCTCTGAGCAGAGCAATACCAGTTCTGTGGGTGCAGGTATGATTGAAACATGCATGGGAGCAAGGGAGCAGGGGACAAGTTTCCACGATCCTGTCCTTATTCCTAGACCCCCAACTACAGTCCTTTGGGGTCAAAGACTTGAGACTCCCAAACCCCGAAGATCTGATAGCTTCTCTCCTCTTCCACCCAGCCTCCCACCACCCAGCAGCCATCAGACTCCGAGGTCGGGACACCTTGTTCTCCCTTCCTGTTCCAGTGACCTCTCCCACCCCCAGGGCCCAGAGAAGAGAAGGGGCAGCAGGGACACAAGACGCCCCTGACCACTTCATCCCGCTGTAGCAACACTTCTGAGACTCCAGACTGCCAGCCTCTCCAATCCCTGTTTTCCCCAAGTCCCAGCCGGCTGGACAAGGCAGCAGAATGGAATGGGGCAGGAGAAAGGATGACAGCATGTGCTTGGGAGTCTGTTGGCTCCTCTGGGGCAGCCCTCCGGCTGGGCTGGAAGCTTCCTCCTGGCCTTTCCCAGACCTTCAGGGGTCCTCAGGGTACCATGATGCTGTCCCCATCCGCATCCTCCCACCCCAAAGATTCCGGAACACCCCAAAAGCCATCGAAGTCTTCTCCCAGAGGTTTTCTCAAAGATGTCAAATTCCTAAACAAGAGACACTCTGGAAAGGTTTCCTACAAATATTCTGAAAGTTGGTTTTTCCCTCCGCTCCACCTCCTCAGCCTGACCCTTGGGTCCCACGCGGACCACCCTCCCCCCAGCCCGCCCCCCACCCCACTTTCAGGCACCTGTGGCAGAGTCCAAGCAGGGT